TGCCCCACAGGTGACGTTCCGCCCCACAGCTGATGTTCTGCCCCACAGGTGATGTTCTGCCCCACGGGTGATGTTCTGCCCCACAGCTGATGTTCTGCCCCACAGGTGATGTTCTGGCCCCACGGGTGATGTTCTGGCCCCACGGGTGATGTTCTGCCCACAGGTGATGTTCTGCCCCACAGGTGATGTTCTGCCCACAGGTGATGTTCTGCCCCACAGGTGATGTTCTGGCCCCACGGGTGGTTCCCCGGCCCTGCAAGTGATGCTCTGCTCTCTCACACCGCCCTGCTCTCTGCAGGGGACCCCACGGGACAAGCTGTGCTGTCCCCAGGAGGCTGCCAGCCCTAGCACAGGGTGCATTGCCCCGGGAACTCAGCAGATGTCAGGCGGTGACACCTGGGATGTCTGGGCTTTTATTCCTTACTTTTTCCAAAGGACACGTGGCTGCCGGAGGGCAGGGTGATGTGCCACTGGCTCTGCTCTCTCGCTGGGATCACCTTGGCTGCTTTGCAGCTGTGGGGAAGGTGTGCTGGCCACCACACCTGGCCATCACTCCCTGCCTCTGGGCCTGTTCTCAGCCAGGCTGGGACACCGACACCCCCAGAGGCCCAGCAGGTATTGACGATATTTGCAGAAAGGTTCGGATTTGCAGCATCCTTGTTCACCACCCAGGCTCTGCCAGGCTCTTCACAGCTTTCCCCCCTCCTGTGACACCGCTGAGGAGGGGAAACACGGGCAGTTCCTGCTCTGGGTGAGCAATCAGGAGCCTGTCCAAAGCCAAAGGGGTTCATGTCTCTGCATTAGCGCTGCCATATTCACTCCAGAGAGAAACTCTCTTCTTTTTCAGGACACCCAGGCCAAGGGCTGTGCCAGGGAAGGGCACAGGCTGTGACACCGCGGGGCTCTGGGTGCTTAAAATAACAAGGCAGGTTGGACCCAGGGATGACACGTGCAGGTGTCTCTGCTCCGGAGGGGGTTTCAGGTGGGTGGAGCTGCGGGTCCTGCAGCCAAGGCAGAAATTGGGTTCGTTTGGGTCTGAGCTCTCGAGTCTGAGCCCAGAGCTGAGCTCAGCAGGAGGAGCCTGAAGCTGCTTTTTCTTCCTCCTCCAGAACTGAGTAATAAAGAGACAACTGTTGCTGCTTGTCCGGAGGTGCCTCACAAAGACAACGAAAATGATGGTGTAGTTGGACAGTGATGAGCTCTTAAAAAACGGATTGCAGAAGTTCACCCCAACAAAACCCAAGAGTTTGCGTTTTCAGGAATTCTGTGGTTTCTGTTCTCTTGCCTGATGATCTGAAAACAACCCCACCGAACCTGGGCGCGTGTTTGGCACTGGAACAGGTTGGCAGTTCTAGTATAAATAATATTTTCCTACAAAAGCCTCTTATTCCCTAAAAAAAAAAAATAAGGAAATTTCCTCATCTTTTCTAAAAAACAGAAAGACAGAAATGTAGTTCATTTTAGGGTAACGATGCTGTTCTAAACACGCTCTCTAGAAACGATAGAAATGAATTGAACGCGTATTTTATAGGGTGTTTTTTTTTCATGGTTCCCCTCGAGCGAACCCCGGGCTCTGTTGTTCCTCCCGCCCGGGAATTCCCAGCGGATGGCTGAATTTAAGAAAGGAAGAAATGCAAATTTCCCCCCCTCTGCCTTTGTGCTCAGCTCTGAAAGGCAGGAGGGGCTGCAAGTTGCTGTGTGCGGGGTGAGGGGGGAGCAGAGCCCCCCGCGCCCGGGGTGACACCCGGGGAGTTTCAGCCTCTCCCTTCAGGGATGCCATCAATACAAACGCTTTCTTCCCGTTAAAAAGAAAACCAATTTGAAAGAAGCAAATAAAACGAACACTACCCGGCTGACTGACAGCTTGTAAAGCCCAGGCAGAATTAGGACGAGGGTTTCTGCCTGGCTCCGTTTCCAGGTGAGCTTTACAAGCTGCGCTGCTTTGCCTGAGTGCAGGGCACGGGAGGCAGGACGTTTTTTGTGCTCCCAACACGGAAAATCTAATTTATTAGTGTCCTGGGCTTTTTTTCCCCCCCCCAAGCAGCACATTCCTCCTTCAGAAGCAGCTGTGCCTGAACTTGCAGTCCCCACAGACGCGGGAAATGATGAGATGGTTAAATGACCAAATGATAAGGGCTGGATTTTGTGTTAGAA